ATTTGCAGGTTCTGGATTCCAGGCCTTGAGCAGCCTGGCACCTTCCCCCTTCGCTACCATGGAATGCTCTCCCCACTGTAAAGTGAGCTGCAGGCTAGGCTGCTGAGTGGTCAGAGATCCCGTGTAGTGAGAGGTCCAGCCAGCAGCCGGCATCAGTGTGTCAGACATGGGAGTGATGCCACTGTGGACTCTTGAGCCCAGGTGAAGCCGGCAGGTGACAACAGTGGCATGAATGATCCCAGGTGAGATTTGTAGAGGAACCTTCTAGCTGGGCCCAGCCAACCCACAGATTTATGAGAAAGATTAACTTGTTTTGAACTACTAGGTAAAAATGATTCTACTTGTAGCTTCTCTTACCGAGAAGTCTACAGAGCAGAGTTTATAGTTGGTTCTGTTCTCTCCCACCCTCCCCCTATCCTCCATTGTTAACTCCACCCTCCCTCTATCCTCCATTGTTAATATGCCTCTATAGGTGGGTACCTAAGTGTCACACAGTAATTATGGCAATTAAGGGGATAGAGATAGGAGCTAATTTTTTTTTTAAGATTTTATATAGTTATTTGAGAGAGAGCATGAGTGGAGGTGGAGGGTGACTGGGGGGAAGGGCAGAGGGAGAGGGAGAAACAGGCTCCCCACTGAGCAGGGAGCCAGAGGTGGGGCTCTGTTCTGGGACCCCGGGATCATGACCTGAGCCAAAGGTAGATGCTTACCTGACTGAGCCACCCAGGTACCCCAGAAGCTAATTTTTAAAAATGTCCTGTGCAAACCCTTTCCATTCGTCATCTTATTTAATGAATGTAGAGCCGGTATTCTCCCCAGTGCCACTCAGGAAGTGGCAGAATCAAGACTGGAGGCTGGAATTCTTAACTGTGTTGTTCTTTTGATTACCTCAGGTCTCTAATTGTGTGTTTCTTCATTCTTGTTGAAGCTGGTATTTTTTAACTTCTTCCTGTTGGTCCCTAGTGGGAGCTGGGCTATTGTTCTGGTAAATGTTGCTCTGTTAATTTCTACTTTCCTGGGTACTGTAAAGGAGAATGACTCTAGGACCATTGTCTTGACCTCTTATTGTTTTTTCTCCATAGTTATAGACCAAGATGATGTGGCAGGAAAAGGTTGGGGGCCTTGGACCCTAATTACTCTACTAGGGGCAAACAACGGTGGTGATGTTGGGGAATGGAAAGGCCCTTTGCAGGTGGGGAGGAGTTCTAGAGGAGTTGGGGCATTTTTTTTTTTTCAGAAATACCTGGAATGTATCTCTTTTCCAGGGTCTGATACAATAACATCTAGTGGACTCCATGGCTTTTATGGTGAGATCTTGCTGAAGGAGAACACTTAGCCTGATAAGAAGAAGAAAGGTACTTGGCTATTCTAAGGTACCTGCCTTTCCTTTTATATCACTTTTACATTTATTTTGGAAAATGTGTACAAGTAGAAATTTTTTTAAAAACTTGGAAATAGTTTTACATTTTGAGTCATTTTTTTTTCTTTTTACTGAAGTATAGTTGATGTGCAGTATGGAATTAGTTTCAGGTGTATGACATAGTGAGTCCCCAAGTCTGTACAGGATGCTCCGCTCCCCACAAGTGTAGCTGCCATCTCTACATACAGTGCTGTTGCTGTTATTCCCTGTGCTGTAGCTTTCATCCCCACGACTTATGCAGTCCAACATTCTGAGCAATTTCTTTATTTTTTTTCTTTAGAGAGGGAGGGCAGGGGAGGCACAGAGGGACAGGGAGAGAGAGAATCCCAAGCCTGAGTCCCCGCTGAGCGTGGATCCTGACGTGGGGCTTGGTCTCCACACCCTGAGATCATGACCTGAGCCGAAATCGAGAGTCAGATGCTGAACCTTCTGAGCCACCCAGGTGCTCCCTGAGTACTCTCTAATGTTAGTACTGCTGTCAGGTAATCACCTGTGTGATGCTCCTCTCCTGAATGATGATTTCAGAACTAACGTTAAGAGGTACTGTGCTGGTTTCTTAAGCTCTCTCTGGGCAAGGGCTGAGTCTTGTTTACTCTTGTATCCCAGTGCCTTCCAGTAATGCCTTATACATAACAGACCTGCTTTTTATTTGGCCCAGCCACAGGTAACATCTGGGACCTTGGGTTCTAGGTTCACTTTAGACCTGTTTCCTTGTTGCACTCTCCCCTGGAAGAGAGCCTGGACAGGACGTGGGTGGAAGCAAGAGATTTTTACCTCCTCCTCCTGTTTGTTTATATTCCGTTTTCTGCATTTTTAAAATGTTTTTTTTTTAATATAATGTTTTTATAATTCTGTTGCTGTATGAAGTTTTGCTTATATTTTTGTTGATTTAGAAAATTCCTGGGAGGTACAGGGAAAAGAACACATATTTATTTACTTGGATGGCTAAAAATATCTCTGAAAGGATACACAGGAAACTAGGGACGTTACTTGCTTCTAGACAGGGAAACCGGGCAGCTAGAGGGCAGGAGTGGGAGGGAGATTTTTGTACTTTTGTACCTTGTGAGTTGGGACCCATGTGATTGATACTCCCGGAATGCCTTTGGAAGTAGAAATGGAGAAAGTGTTCAAGAGCACAGGAAAAAGGTCCCCCAAAATCCAGTTTAATAAAAATAAATATAAGAGAGGATTATCAGTTACTTTTTCTTTTTTTTTTTTTAATTTAAGGGGAAAAGAGAGAACCCAGTCTGCTTAATGCCTGGGGGCTTCTGATATCTTTCATTCTGTGGGTTTGTATATAGGAATGTGTCATGTTAAGCCTTCATTGCATAGTAACCTTCAAGAAGCATATACTTTTATTTGTTAGAAATCATGGACAATTCTTATTGAAGGGGAGCTTTTTATATAATACATATTTTTAAAGTTACACCAGAGACTTGGAATGAATGGGATCATTTCTTTCCTAGCAATGGAGAGTTTGTTCTCTTGCCTGTTGCTTCCTACCTGAGCTGTTGATTTTAGGACCCTGGAAGGAGTAAAGGATAGGAGAGTCTTTTCACTGAGAATGAAAGATAGATGTTTAGGGGAAGGCGGAGTATATCTGTTATCTGTCGGTGTATAACAAACCACCACAAACTTAGTGGCTTAAAACAACAATGAAATATTCTCTCTCATAGTTGTGTTTCAGCTGGGTAGTTTTTTTGCTTGTCTCAGACTTATTTGTGTAGCTGCAGTCAGATGACGAATGAAAGAGGTAAGTCGTCTCCGATGGACGCACTCACAAGTCCCACAGTGCTTCTTGCTGCTAATTGGGGCTTGTTGGTTCTCTTTCACACGGCCTCTCTGGTTCCAGGAGCTTCCTCACTGCATGGCAGGCCTAGGGCGGCATTCTAAGAGGGCAAGCTGTATTGCTTGCCTGTCACATCTATGTTTCCTTTTGCAGTAGCTGGTTTGCTGCTGGCCAAAGCAGGTCACAGGGCCAACCTCAGGTCACCGTGGAGGGGACTAAGTTCCCACCTTGGTGGGGGAAAAAGAAACAAAGAATTAGTGGCCATTTTTAATCCACCACAAGCCCACCCTTGTTTGATTTGCTTCTTGGGTTAATATTGGGCCAAGAGAGAAAAAGTTCTGTTAGTTTCTCCAGTTTTCCTGTATCACTGATACCTTCATTAGGCCAACGTAGGAGCTGATTAATGAACTGGGGATATTATGTTCAGACTAAAAATTGGAATGAAGGGTAATAGCTGCTTTTATGTATTTGAAGAACCTTCTTATGAAGAAGAGACCAGTTCCACGGTATGGAAGTGACTGGAAAGCAGCTGTCTCTTCTGCCATGTGAGACAGTGAGTCTTCTCGAATGCTGTCCTGCCCCCAACCCCATGCAAGTAGAATATGGGTAATCTTGTGTCAGGGGCTTTAAAGGAGGGTCTTCCTCCGTGAATGACTCAACTTAAATGATTCCTGTTGGTGTCAGAAGTCTGTGCTTTTGGAACTCGGAAAGTGCACTGTGCTCTTCATCTTGAGAGTAGGGATGGATGAGGGGATGTTAGAAAGGGGAGGAATTCTTCTGCACGGACTTGTGATTTTACTTGATGGATAAGTTCATAGATACCTGCTGGGACCCCGAGAGGAGGGGATTGACTGTTGCTGTGAGGAGCGGTTCCATTTAGTACAGAGGCAGGGAGGTGCTGCATCTTGAAGACAGGTTTTTTGTGAGCCATCTTTGGTTAGAATGAAAAGAGTCAAGAGAAGAAATTGAAGTAAGAAATGGATGTGTACGGTTCCTCCAGCAGCCACAGATTAAGTGTTCAGCTTCCCGAGTTTATCTAATGAAAACTGTTTGGTACAACTTTCCTGTAACATGATTTTGAGATCTCCCGATTTTCTGTATAACAGACCACCAGGTCCAAATGGTGCTGTTGTCAGCTGAGAATACTGTCCATAAGGGATCAGCGTGTGGGCCTGTTCCCATTTCTCCCTCCCATCACTCCCTTTTCTTTGTTGGAGGGAGAAGGCAGCGGCAGGGACGACTGTTCACTCTGATGTCAAGCTCCTGAGCAAGAAGCTTAATGGACGTGCTGTCTCTTTTTCATGTTATCAGCCCGGCCACTTCGGTCGGTGGTGTTTCTATGGAGCCTGCCCCATTTCCAGCGCTTTTTTTTTTTTTTTTTTTTTTTAAGAAAACTCCGAGTATGGCAATAAGCTACAGTACCTCCAGTGATTCATACGCAGAGGGGTGTTAGGTTTTTGGTGGGAAGCAAAATTTAAGCGACAAATAAATATGCTAGCTGAAGCAGAAGATTGCTTTCCTGACTGGCTCATTTACAAGCTGGAAAGTTGTGAAAAACATCAACCTACCAACTGTGTAGCTCATTGGCTCTTTCTTTGGGCTTCCATGTTCCTCCTGGTAAAAATAATAATTATGTTATTCTGGTATGGTTGCCAAGCATTCATGCTTCTCACTCCACTTGTGATTATAAATGATTCTGCAGCGTGAATTGCTTTGTCTTTGATTTAATGTTTCATAACATTTGGATGTTTTGTTCTCTGTGCTGATTTGTCATTCTCTTTCCCTTTTCAGAATGGACTGCTGAATTATGAAGAATTTCAGACCCAATAGCAGAAACTCACTCGGTCACTCACTCCTTTATCTCCTACTAGTTATTTAAATTGGACTTTTAATATCCTACCAGCTGCTCTTCAGACACACATGGTGCATTGTTGCCATTCCCCGGATTGCATCTTTGAAACACAGGCTCTTAGTAACTTTCAGCGAACAAAGAGGCAACCTCCCGGGTATATTTCCTGGGAGGGTGTCACCCTGACTGCCCTCTAGCTTCTGCTGGATCTGGATTTGAATTCCACCATGGAGCCTCGCATGGAGTCCTGCCTGGCACAGGTGTTGCAGAAGGATGTGGGAAAACGACTACAGGTTGGCCAAGAACTTATAGACTATTTCTCAGACAAACAGAAGTCTGCTGACCTTGAACATGACCAGACCATGTTAGATAAACTTGTGGATGGGCTTGCTACCTCTTGGGTGAACTCTAGCAATTACAAGGTAAGCTGTGCTTAAGAAGGCACTCGTGTAGGTGGCTGGGCTGCCTTGGCGGGTCAGAACTGGTCCTTAGGAAAAAGACTTCTTTAGGAGCCATTCGTAGGTGGCTTCCAGTAAGACACCCAGGCTGCGACTTTTGGATGTTTCATTCTGGAGCAAGTAGGGTCTTCTTTAATTCTTGTTGGAGATCAAAGAATCCTTATGCTTTCGCACTTTGAGAGAAGGTCAAGTGAACAGATAAAGAGAGGCTTTTATGTTGGGAAGTTTACAACCATTTGCAGCCCTGAAGTTGAAATGAATGTTCTATCCTACATTGAAAGGGTCATGAGATGTTGGTGAGTGGCCCTTCATAATTAGCAAACATCTTCACTGATTTCCTGTTGGGGATGGAATTGGTGGTAGTGTGTGGCACATTTTACCTTCAGATCTCTGTTTTGAAGTCGGCCTAGGTACCTGGCCAGAAATAGTATGGGTTGCCAAGGGCTCTTCTGTGACTTGTGTGTAATGGCCTGGAGGATATCCTTCTGGTTCTAAAGATCGAAGTGGGCATGTGCCTTTGGTGGGTAGGGGATGCAGGCAGGGTCCCAGGACCCAAATGAGTTGTCACGATTGACCATTTTACCATTCAAGGATTGAGCTTTTGTGACTAAAAACTGGACTGGACTTGTGCTGCAGAGGTGTCATTCTCTCTACCTCCCCTCCCCTTACTTAGTTTGCCAAGAGGTGGCCCCTTTGGGTCAAGATTGAGATAGAACAGTAGGGTGTTGGCATGACTTCTAATAGGTGCTGTAGACATTGGGATTGGGAAAGGGGCTCACAGGAAACAGAATCTCTTGTGCTTTTTCATTGACTCAGTCTTCTGAGGTTGGTTTGGATTTGGAAACTGGTGCTTAACAGGATTTCTTTGTTTGCTCTAGTGTGGACTCTTGTTTTCCAAATGCATTATAAACCTTGCTCTCACTTAAGAGTCAGCAGGCTTTATACTCATTAAGCGTATTACCTGGGACCCTGATATTTTACTTACAATTACATGTAAAATTTATCCTGTCTTTGAAAGTGGAGTTTAATTTCTGTATAATTCATCTATTTATTCATTTAGCTGCAGGTGGCAAGTGCTGCTTATGTGCTTGGCCTTTGTGCTGGGTGATGGGAGTGTTACAAACAGGGGAGGGTGGTGGAGGGCCATTGTCGAGGGCTGTAAAATCACCTTGTCTGGGTTGGATTCCCAGTTCCACCACTCCGTGTGCACATTGCTATGCTTTTGGCTGAGAGTAACTGAAGCTGACTCATTGGCTTCAAACTGCCACCAGGAAATTGAGTAATTTTCTTTAAGAGTTCAAGAAGTCTCCGGTAGTTAAGGCAATGTCCAGAGAAGAAGAGTGTCTGCTTTTGTCTTTTACTTGGAGGGAAGCCTTTCCCAGAAGCTCCCTAGCAGAACCTTTTACATCGGATTGGCCAGAATGGCTTTGCCTGCCCATCCCAGCATCATTGGAAAATGGATGGGTATCCCTGATTGTTTTCCACCATCATGCTTGACCTCCTGATCTCAAGAAGAGTCCAGCCTCCTTTGAGTGAAGCATATGGCCATGTGAAGGAGGGGATGATATTTGAATACTGTCAGACTCCTGCTCAAAAAATACTGCTTTCATGAGGGAATAAGCACTCTCTAAGCGTCCAGTCCAATGAGAGCAGATAATGAAAGAAAGCTCTACTCTGACTATAATGGACAGCATCAGATCTCTGAGCAATAGTGGACCTTTGTTCATACATAGAACTCAAGCTTTATATATTATGGGTTGAAGGAGGAAGTTCGGAACGGGACTGAGGTAATAGGGATGTTAAATAGGTAACCCAGAGAGTCTGCTATACCATTCGAGTTCTCTTAACCTTTCCCGGCTTTGGCTTTGGGGTTTGGTTCCCTTATGTACAGTGTTGGGATAACTGAGTTGTTACCAGTGCTAAATGAGACATTGTATGTTGGTAGGATTGCAAGCTGGTGCAGCCACTCTGGAAAACAGCATGGAGGTTCCTCAAGAAGTTGAAAATAGAGCTACCCTCTGACCCAGCAATTGCGCTACTAGATATTCACCCCCCAAATACCAATGTCATCTGAAGGGGCACCTACACCCCAGTGTTTATAGCAGCAATGTCCACAATAGCTAAACTATGGAAAGAGCCCCGCTGTCCGTCGACACGTGAATGGAGAAAGAATACACACACACACACACACAATGAAATACTACTCAGCCATCAGAAATTGAAATCTTGGGGGCACCTGGGTGGCTCAGTGTAGGTTAAGGCCTCTGCCTTCAGCTCAGGTCATGATTCCAGGGTCCTGGGATCGAGCTCTGCGTTGGGCTCTCTGCTCAGTGGAGAGCCTGCTTCTTCCCCTCTCTCTCTGCCTGCCTCTCTGCCTACTTGTGATCTCTGTCAAATAAATAAAGAAAATCTTTAAAAAAAATAAAAAAGAAATTGAAGTCTTGCCATTTGCAATGACATGGATGGAACTAGAGGGTGTTATTAAGTGAAATAAGTCATCAGAGAAAGACAGTTGTCATATGATTTCACTCATATGTGAAATTTAAGAAACAAAACAGAGGAGCATAGGGGAAGAGAGAGAAAAATAAAATAAGACAAAAATCAGAGATGGAAACAAGCCATAAGAGACTTTTAATCATAGGAAACAAACTGAGGCTTGCTGGAGGGGAGGTGGTGGGGGGATGGGGTAACTGGATGATGGACATTATGGAAGGCACGTGATGGAATGAGCACTGGGTGTTATTCAAGACTGATACTGCACTGAGGGCTGGGCATCCAGTGAGGACCGTTGGGCCCGGCCCCCGCCCTTACCGTGACCACGAGTGCCCAGGTAGTCTAGCTCTGTCTAAATCTGGCACTTGTGGACATCATCCCGGTGCACGCTTGTCTCAAGGCCCATGCCATGCTGCTTTGTATTTGAAATTTGTAGGTTCTCTGTTAACCTGGGGCTTCCTTTGTCTCTGCCCTAATGGTCTAATGGGATGGGGGTGGGGGAGGGCAGGGAAGGCAAATGATGGGATAGTGCACAGTGTAGGATAGGATATCATTAACCATTAAACTGCATCGTAGGAGTGTCTATAAAGGTTGTATTGTGGAGAAGAAAAAAATGTTAGGGTTTGTTAGAGAGGCTGAGTTGGAGAGGTAGAATTACATAGGGCCATGAAGAATCAAAAGGAATGAGTTCATAAAGGTTCTGAGAAGCCTGACTTCCCTTCTTGTTTCTCCCTCTCTGGGCAGCGCCACTTCTTGTAGACTGTAGAAGATTTAGTCTTTCCTTAAGCCTCTTTACAGAACACAGTGTTTATGTCTGCCCTGCATCAGGTGCCCTTTATGGGCGGGAGGGAAGGTGTGACTGATAAGGGAGGTTGCTCTCATTCCCCTGGCCTCTATCTCCACAACCTTGGCTTTCATTGAGGTTTTTATTCCTCCCTCTGTGTCCTTGAGAGGAGAGCCAGAAAAGATTATTGGATTCAGATGAAGTGACTTCTGTTTCTTTTTCTGGCAGTCCGCTTGGTATTGCCATCAAACCTCGCCTCCTTTCAGAGGCTGTTCATTATTCCCAGATTTTTTTCCCTGCAATGTTGTCCAGTGGTTGCAAGAACCGCACTTCTCTGGGTGTATTTTATTGGTTGATTGAATGATTGCAGTGTTTACATTTTATGAAACATTTATTTATTTTAAAAAGGTTTTTTGACTGTAGGTGGCACATAATGCTACATTCATTTAAAGTGCACAACAGTGGTGATTTAACTTGTCTATACATTATGCTATGCTCCCCACAAGTGTAGCTAACATCTGTCCCCATGCAACAGTATTACAGAATCATGGACTGTATTCCCCACGAATGCCTTTTATGCCAATGATTTCTTCTTTCCATAACTAGAAGCCTGTACCTCCCACTCCTCCTCACCCATTTTGCCCATCCCTGCACTACATCATGCTTCTGGCAATCATCCATCCATCTATCCATCCATCCATTCATTCCTTTATTATTTTTATTTTATTTTAATTCTCATGTAGTTAATGTAGTGTTACATTAGTTTCAGGTGTACAATGTAGTGGTTCAACAGTTCCATGTATTACTCAGTGCTTAACAATATGTGTACTTTTAATCCTCTTTGGGTAGGTATATTTTAAAAAGATAGATGTCTCTGTTTTAAGTTGAAAAGCTATAGTTAGTGGTACTAAGCAAGAGCAAAAACACCACAGGAGAAGTTATTTTGAGAAAATTCTGGGGCTCCTGGGTGGTGCAGTTAAGCACCTGACTCTTGATTTTGGCTCAGGTCATGATCTCAGGATACTGGGATCAAGTCCCGCATCGGACTCCATACTCAACGGGGAGTCTGCTTGAAATTCTCTTTTTCCCTCTCCTTCTGCCCCTCTCCCCATTCACACCTGAATTGTCACTTTCTCTCTCACATAAATAAATAAAATCTTAGGGTACTTGGATGGCTCAGTTGGTTACGCGTCTGCCCTCAGCTCAGGTCATGATCCCTGTGTCCTAGGATTGAGCCCCACATTGGTCCTTCTGCTCAGTGGTGAGTCGGCTTCTCTCTCTCCCTCTGTGATCTCTCTCGCTCTTGCTCTCTCTCAAATAAATAAAATGTTAAAAAAAAAAGGGGGAAAGAAAATTTCTGTGGATTGTTGAGTAAAAATGATATGCTTGATGGATGTAATTAATGGCATTTCTTCCTAAATATGTGTTAATAAATATGCAAAAGCATCAAAGTATATTGAAAATCATTCAGATTTGAGTATGAACAGTCTGAATTCCTGTTCTGGCTCTGTCCTTTGACTTTTGAGCAGGGAACTCTCATCTGTAGAATGGGTGTCTGGTGATACCTACTACATAGCATTCTTATGTGGATTCAGTGAACCAGTGTACATAAGGTGCTGGTCGTGCTTAGCATTATAGCATGTGGTCAGTGAAAGGAAGATGATGGACAGAGTATGGAGTTACTGGT